GACGCTCCGGGATCACATCTTTCAGCCAGAGTGGTTTCTGTGTCAGAGAGCATGATGGGACGTCGCCGCGTGGCCTGYTCTGTTGGGTCGAATTACTTTTGTCAGCTGGTTCTGCCTCAGCAGTGCTGCACGTGGTCGCTGACATGCTGCATGAGGAATTTGCAAGATGTCACGGCAGACGTTCGGTTTATTTCTTTTTTTTTTAGATTGGATTATTAAAACATTTGGCTACAAGAAGTGTAAGAGTTCAGTCAACTGACACCCAGTAATTAAAGCCAGAAGCTGCTGCACCTCATTACCAAATGGGCTCTGTAAGGTTCCAGTGATAATCATGGCTGTTTGAGTGGTTTACAGTGGTTGGCCGTGCAGCAGCAGGTAATTCCAGTCTCAGGGACTCAACATGAGCTGAAASCCGTGCCTCTTTGTGTCCCAGCTGGCTTTTGTTTGGGATATTTCCGCCTGGTTAACTTCCGAACCCGGAGTTAGAGGTGGCTGCCTTTGTCCTGACTGAGTGACGGAGCTCCTGAGGATGGAGGCACGAGGGGGGGAGGAGTTCTGTTTGGACCATCTGTTGCTGAGATAATTCATCTTGACTTTATACCAGACCTTTTRGACACACAAACACACACAMACTGACATAAAAAGAGACCAWAAAATGAACAAACAAATCATTTGAAAACCTTAGTTTAGTTAAATTTACMATGACAGATGGTTCCTTTGACAAATCACAGCAGTTAATAAAACTTGAAAATTGTAAATTTCAACAAAAACACAGCCTGAAAGCTGAGAGCTGAATGTATCATCAACCAAATTGTTAAAGATAAAAAATAAGAACAGAAGCAAAAATGTACAAGATTGTAGCTAAAAGCTAAAATCGGGAAAAAAATAACTAAATGCTCTAATTAGAAAATCATTTACTAAAAGCTAAATAGGAAAAAGTGCTCAAAAACCCCGAAGTAGCAAAAGCACAACTAAAAGCTACAATTAACAAAACACATAGAAGCTGAAAATCACCAAACAAATCACTAAAACAACTGCTGATAGTTGCTTGAAGATAATTGTAGTAAAACTGTGGTTAAATGAGGAAAAACAGTAGTATAAAGCAAAATGAGCAAAATTGAAGCTAAAAGCTACAATTAGTAAGACAAGGCAAACAGTAAAACAATTTTGCTGAAGTAGAGTTGCAACATAGATGTTTTTGAAAGAACCATTCTGGGAAATATTTGTAAGTAAATTTAATATAATATAATATAATATAATACAATACAATATAATATAAAAGCTAATAGTGACTGAGCAGACTTGGCAAAGTTAACTCAAGTGTTTGCAAGACTGAAATGTTTTTATTGACTCAACATGGATTGGAGGTGGGGAGTTACAGATTTATGAGGCGTCTGGATCTTTTTCATGTCTTCACTCGCCTGCTCTCTTATTCTTTTGTATTTCTGATGCATTTCATGATGGAGTACACGACCTAAGAATCTGTGGAAGATGAAATCCAGATTCAAACCCCTTCTGTGTGTTTTTTTCTTACGTAACAGCTACAGATTTTCCTAAAATCCTAAGCATAAACTCCTATTAATCTCCTGTCCTGACTCACGTGAAGCAGCTTTTCCTTGAACATGGTACCAGGCAGACCCAGCTGTCAAACAGAACGTGTTAAATGATGGCCACGTGTGGTACAATATCTACAATATGTTCTGATGTGTCTGTTTGTCTCTTTCTCCACACAATAGGAGGCGGGACATTATCAGCTGCCCGCGCCCTTCCTCTCCCCCATCACCCCTCCTCCTCCTCCTCCTCCTGATTTACCCCCTCCATCCCGCTCACCGTCCTCCCCTGCGGCCTGAGAGCCACATTTAGCTCTGCTCCATTAGCCGTCTGAGAGAGAAAAAGAAAATCCCTGATGATAGAAGTGGCTGAATGGTTACATTTAGAGGCTCTTTGTCAGAGAGGGAAACCAAAGAAAAAGATCTGAGAACAACTCTTTGAGCTGTTAGTATTTATTAGACTTTATAATGTAATAACTAAATAATGAACCCAAATAAAACATCTTGCTCTTTGCTCTCGCTTTGATGGAAGGTGCATTTTGTGCTGAGTGTGTGCTCGTGCACGCTGCACAACAGCGTTGTTGTTAATTGTTAATGAGGATTGATGTCTGAAGTGGTGACCTCGTCTAAGGTTTCCTGGTGGAATCCACGCGTATTGATCTTTTCAGTTTTATGCTCTGCTGGACACACAATTCACTCACTCTCCACGCTTCCCTGCCCGTCTCATAGGTGGGACTGATGATTAATAACAAACAGTCTGACTTAGATCTCCTAAAAGCTTGAGGAAGTTTAATATTTCAAAATCTGAATCTTGCACTATTGAAGAAAAAAACAACTCCTCTCTCTTTACACCGTGCGCAGTAAAAGCAGAAATGGTTCTTTTTACAATTTACATTAAAAAATWACAACTTTGTAAGATCATGCAAACGGTTGTCCTCATCTGCAACTCAAACAGCTTGTTCTATAAATACGTGTTGATTACTGTGAGGAAACGACAGCTCATCAGCCTCAGATTCCTGTTTTTGCTCCAGGTTACTGAGTTGCTAATAAACACATCTGGGTGGAGCAGTAGCTTTGTTGCTTTTTTACCATTTGTGTTTAGAGATACTAAAATGGAAATGAAAATAGTAAGCAAAAAAAGTGCCACAGATAGTAGAAATAGTGTTTCCCAGTTATATATTTAAATACTATACCATAATAAAGTATCTATGGCACCTTTAGCTGATATTAAAATGCTGTTTTTATGTTTAAATAGAAAATAAACTTATCTTCTCATCACCTCCTATTCTAAATGCCTTGAA